GCTTAAAATCCAATGCACCATTTCTGCACGGAGAGACGTAGGGCTCTTTTTTTTTTTACTCCCCTTCCTCCCCCATCCACGATCATATATCCAGATTGCTCTCCCCCACCCGCTCGACCCTCCCAGTTTCTTAAAGGCGGCTTTCCCCACCCCCACCCCACCCCTCCTGTGCGCGCTCGGCGATTTCCGCCTCGGCAAAGGGGGAAGGACGCAGAGTTGGTGGGGGAACCTACCTTTTTGTCTTCCTTCTCGCCGCTATGCCTCTTCTCCGGCTGCTGCTGCTGCTGCGCGCTGTCACCGGCGCTTTCCCCTGCCTGCCCATCCTGCTGCTGCTGCCGCTGCTGCTGACAGCCTCCAGACCCCTGCGCGGCGTGGGGGATGGGCTCCGGGCACGGAGAAACTCCCCGAACATCCATCTCCATCTTCCAAGCCGCCGGATTTGCAAACAAAAGCAGCCAAGGAGAAAGAGACTTTCCGCCACCCCGGCGTCTCTCTCCCTCTCCAATCTCTCTCTCTTAGGATTTGATTCCCTTCCCCGGTTATGCGCGTGCATTTATTTGGCTTGGAGAATCACTCACATGGTTCCTCTCCTGCACCGATCCGGCGCCTGCGATCTCACGCACAAACACAGACTTGAGATCCTCCGGACTTTTGCAGCCAACGTGTGCGCCTCGCTGTCTTGCCGGCGGCGGGTACGGTGGCCTCCAGCCGCCCCTTAGCAGCGAAAACGCCCGCGAAGCGCGCGCGGCCCCCTGCCAGACCCAACTCCCACCGTCCTCCTCCCTCGGCGAGGATTAGAGACTTGGTGGTGGTGCTACTACCGCCAGCCGGGGCTTCCAGGCCCGGGCAAGCCTTTTGCATGGGTTTCTCTTACTGAATTTACCCCTTCCTCCTCCGACGCTGTTTCTCTTTTTGGAGAGGCGGTTAGGGGAGCCTCTGAATGGAGAAGTTCGAGGCGGCGTGAGGGAGGGAGAGAAGCCGCCGAGGGGCTTGGGGAAAGGGGAACTCGGGGGTGTCCTGAGGAGAATGTCGAGGAAAAGTTAAAACGCCTCTCGCGCGCGCAAACGCACCGCGCGCGCCCCGCCCTGTCGCCACAAGGACCCCAGGCAGGCGCGCGTAAAGGGAGCCGCTGGTTTCAGTCCCGAGTGGGGAAGAGGCTGGTTTATGAAGGAGACAGCGCCCCCCCCCGCTCGCTCCCTCCCCCCCACCTCTTCCAAGCCTCTGTGTCTCCCTGATGCTAATCTCCGCGCTGTGCCCGCGCGCGCGCTCCTTTCTCCGTGTATCTATACATATATGCGCAACTGGAGCTCCCTCTCCAGACGGCAAGCGCAGCGCATGAGGAACTGGAGTAAAGGGCGGGCGTGGGGAGGGGGAGCGCGCGCGGGTGAGAGAGAGAGAGAGAGAGAGACGCCCCCCTCCCCGCGCACGCGCGGCTTGATGAGCTCTCGTGATTGATTCTTCAGATTAATAGTTGCTGTTTCTGAAAGGAAGGGCGAGCCCAAGCTCAGGGGCTTCTTTGGAATGCCAGCTGTGAAAATGTGGAGTCATCAGGATGGGCGCCTCTGGGCATGTGCAGAGGGCCTCTCCTCCTCCTGGGACTCTGTCCCCAGAGAGTTGCTCCGAGGTGGTCTCATACCTACACTTTAAAACCTTCCGTTTTACAAGTGTACCCCCCCCCCAAAAAAAAACAAGTGAAAGAAGCTTGTAAAGGTAAAGGGACCCCTGACCATTAGGTCCAGTCGTGGCCGACTCTGGGGTTGCGGCACTCATCTCGCTTTATTGGCCGAGGGAGCCGGCGTACAGCTTCCGGGTCATGTGGCCAGCATGACTAAGCCGCTTCTGGCGAACCAGAGCAGCGCACGGAAACGCCGTTTAACCTTCCCGCCGGAGCAGTACCTATTTATCTACTTGCACTTTGACGTGCTTTCGAATTGCTAGGTTGGCAGGAGCTGCGACTGAGCAACGGGAGCTCACCCCGTCGCAGGGATTCGAACGGCCGACCTTCTGATCGGCAAGTCCTAGGCTCTGTGTTTAACCCACAGCACCACCCGAAAAGGTAAAATGGGATGCAGGTGACACTGTGGTCTAAACCGCTGAGCCTCTTGGGCTTGCTGATCAGAAGGTCAGTGGTTCAAATCCCCGTGACGGAGTGAGCTCCCGCTGCTCTCCCAGCTCCTGCCAGCGCAGCAGTTCAAAAGCACACTGGCACAAGCAGATAAATAGGCACCGCTGCGGCAGGAAGGTAAACAGCGTTTCTGTGCGCTCTGGCTTCCGTCACAGTGTCCCGTTGCTCCAGAAGCGGTTTAGTCATGCTGGCCACATCACCCAGAAAGCTGTCGGTGGACAAATGCCAGCTCCCTCAGCCTGAAAATCGAAATGAGTGCCGCACCAAATAGTCCCCTTTGACTGGACTTAACCATTCAGGGCTCCTTTACCTTTACCTTTTTACCGATATTAGAAACAAGTGGGGAGGGAGAACAGTAATTGTTTTTAATTTGTATGGGCATTTGCACCTGGAACAAACATCAATACCACAGCGTGGATAGCTTCATTGGTGCTGATAATGCCAAGGTTGCAGGTTCAATCCCCATATGGGACAGCTGCATATTTTTGCATTGCAGGGGTTGGACTTGATGACGCTCAAGGTCCCTTCCAACCCTGCAATTCGACAACACATTAACTCGGACAACACATCACCGCGGACAGATTTTACAGTTCAGTTGAGGAGGGATGACATTGACGCAGGATGCTTGGATAGGAACTGAGCAGGGTGCTCCAATGGAGAGTTGGCCTCTGGGTTTTTCAGCAACTTGAAAAGTACCCGTGTGTATGATGTTCCCAACAGGCCAATAAATAGTGTGAAAGTGTTCTCTTGAATGAAAGCCAAGCTTTGATCTGATCATTCTTAAATCAGGACTCTTTTATCAGGTGACTAGGCTGCGTTTCTAAATATAAATTTCCAAATATAAGCTAACATTGCCTTAAAGAGCTACCATTGCTGCTTTGGATGTTACCTGGAAACATACACCGACAAATTTTAGCATACATTTTTTGAAAAAATCCACAGTATGCATGGTTCTAAGGAGAAAATGTCTCATTCCATGTAGCTGTAGAATATTTTCCCAGTTCATGGAAACTCGCACACAACCCTGCTTGCATCAGCTGATGCCCTGACCGAAGGATATTCTGAGAAAATGCTCTTTGTGTAGCATGACATGGAGCCCTATGGAACTTTGCCTCTAGATCCAGAATGGCTAAAATGGTTTGTTAGCTTGCATTTACACTAGCAGATCTTGCAACTGAAATAGAAAGGAAGACAGCCAGGGACAAAACATTAGCAGTGCCCCCCTCCTCTACCAAAGATCCATCATAACCCACCCACCCGCCTAAAAAAGGCAAGCTGCATTTAAAAGAGAAACCATTCACCTTCTAAGAGCCCATCAAAACGCCTGTACTTCTACTTTTCCCCTATAATTTTTATTAAATGTTCTGTTTTACATTTTAGAATATTCATTTAAACAACCTTAAAGATATCAGTGACTTCCCTTCTTCTCTTTCCATTGTTCATTTTACATATCATAAATCCTTGCATATTTTATAGAAACTATATCATTCAGTATTCTATTATTGAAGCCATAAAAACGTATTTACACTGTTGAATTTATCTTAATGCTGTCCACGTTTTCAAATAAACACAGTTTCCCTCCATATATTCACTAAACATTTTCCAATCTTCTTTAAACATATGTTCTTCATGTTCTCTTATTTTATATGTTAGGTCCACAAGCTGCACATATTCCAACAGTTTAAGTTGCCATTCTTCTTTAGTTGGGACTTCACTCGATTTCCATTTTTGGACTAACAAAACTCGAGCCGCAGTAGTGGCATACATAAATAACATTTTTTGACACTTGGGAATTTCCATCTGAATTATCCTCAACAAAAAGGACTCAGGGTTTGTTTGTTTTTTGGAAAAGTACTTTTAAACATTTTTTTCCAATTCATTATGGATTATTTCCCAATACTCTTTTACCCTTTTACAGGTCCGCCACATATGAAAGAAGGTACCCCCAGTCTCATTGCATCCCCAGCACTTATCTGATTCAGTCTTAGACATCTTTGCAAGTCTACTCGGACTAAGATACCATCTGTAAATCATTGTCAGGTAGTTAAAATGCCTGTACTTCAAGGCTTCCTCTTTCTGCTTCAGCTAAATATTGAAGGTCTTCCTAAGTGTGTGCATGTTCCATCAGCTTTGTACTTAAGCACAAGACACCGACTACAATGAGTCACATGCAGGCAGGCATTGGAGAGGTGGAGCACTCTGTCCCTCCTCTGGACCCAGAATACAAATACAGGGGGCTGTTGCAGAAGTGATAGAGCTATACCTTCTGTGTTAGCCTCTAGCAGGTCAGTAATGTTTTTCTGGCTAGTAACTTTTGTGGGTTTATTAATATTAACACGGCTGATTCAACAAATAAAGGTAAAGGGACCCCTGACCATTAGGTCCAGTCGTGACCGGCTCTGGGGTTGCGGCACTCATCTCGCTTTATTGGTTGAGGGAGCCGGCGAACAGATTCCGGGTCATGTTGCCAGCATGACTAAGCCGCTTCTGGCGAACCAGAGCAGCACACGGAAACGCCGTTTACCTTCCCGCCGGAGCGGTACCTGTTTATCTACTTGCACTTTGACGTGCTTTCGAACTGCTAGGTTGGCAGGAGCAGGGACCGAGCAACGGGAGCTCACCCCGTTGCAGGGATTCGAACCGCCGACCTTCTGATCAGCAAGTCCTAGGCTCTGTGGTTTAACCCACAGCACCACCCGTGTCCCGATTCAACACATACATAATGTTTAAAACTTTTTTTAAGGTGATCTTTCTTAAGATCATTTCTGACACTGCTGTCATACCCTGAACAACAACAATATTCCCCCCCCCATATCCCCATTTAAATTGTTGTTGTTAGGTTGTTGATACAACTATCCAGAGAATCCTCTTTTTTTTTCATATAAGCATGATAATGTCAAGGCTGCAGGTTTGATCCCCATATGGGACAGCTGCATTGGAGGAGGTTGGACTATTTATTATTTATTCAACTCATGCACTGCCCTATACCCAGAGGTCTCAGGGTGGTTCACAACGAGACCACAAGACTAGATGCTCCTTAGGGTCCCTTTCAGCTCTGCAATTCTATGTAGAACATGATTTTGCCAGCCGCTTAACAGCTTTTGGTCTGTTCACAGTTTCTTCCATAGACTTGCATCAAAGGAGTTGTTTAATGTCTTACTGTAAATATTCGTTGTTGGGTGCACCCGGTTCTGCCACCCTGGACCTAAATTGTGCTAATATGTGCAGCCTCCCAAACATTAGCTGGGTGACAGATTGTGCAACTAATGCCATTTTAAAGCTAATTAAAAGTGTTGTCTTCTTTGTTGCTTTATTGATTTACACAGCAACTTTTGCCATAGTTGCTAGCCACTTGTTTACAAAGTTAATAAAATGATAAATTACACCCAAGTCTCTCTGTAATGGGGGGGACAATGAAGAATTGGTGTCTTCTTGTTGTTAGAAAATAAAACCAGACCCAAATTCTCCAGCCCCTTAGGCTAAAACGAAAACCAGGAAAAGGGCTAAAATAAATATAAAGATCTTACCATATGTGCCTGAACTTACTGGAGTCGGAGTTTGGCAGAGCGCCCAGGCAAGCCCGTTCCAAAAGCGTGTACCCACAAGGAAGGAGGAGTCCTCAGTTGATCCTGAAACATTTAACCCCAAATGTCAAAATCTGGGTGGTCCACACACAGTCAGATTCTAGGTCCCCGCCCCCCGTGTTTATGTTTCAGAGGATAATGATATCTAATGCTAACTTGGAAAAGACTTCTGGTCTGCATTGTCTAATGGGTAGGCAAACTAAGGGCCGGGAGCCAGATCCAGCCCAGTTGCCTTCTCAATCCGGCCCGCGGACGGTCCAGGAATCAGCGTGTTTTTACATGAGTAGAATGTGTCCTTTTGTGGAAGGTAAATGGCGTTTCTGTGTGCTGCTCTGGTTCCCCAGAAGCGGCTTAGTCATGCTGGCCACATGATCCAGAAAAACTGTCTGCAGACGAACGCCGGCTCCCTCAGTCAGTAAAGCGAGATGACTGCCGCAACCCCAGAGACGTTCGCGACTGGACTTAACAGTCAGGGGTCCCTTTACCTTTACACCTTCTTACTTAAAATGCATCTCTGGGTTATTTGAGGGGCCTGCCTGGTGTTTTTACATGAGTAGAATGTGGGCTTTTATTTAAAATGCATCTCTGGGTTATTTGTGGGGCATAGGAATTTGTTATTCTTCTTTCCAAAATATAGTCCAGCCCCCACAAGGTCTGAGGGACAGTGGACCTGCCCCCTGCTGAAAAAGTTTGCTGACCCCTGGTCTAATGCTTACTGTACATTTGTTTAGCAAAGACCTTGACTTATAGCAAGCATGGCTAACTTCAACCCCTGCTAATGCTGTTGAACTCCAGCACCCAGGAACCCAGCAATTTGCCCATTGCCGCCCAGTGAACTACATGGGTCATTGAGGGTGTTAGCCAGAGTTTCCTATGTCTTAGCCCAGTCATACCAAACTGGTTCTTAACGCACAATGTGAAATGTCAAGCAGAAAACATTTAGTGTTCCATGATCTATCCTCAGTATTTGTGGTGATAAATTTGGAGGAGCTATTTTTCAGCACTAAAGCTTAGAGCCTGTTTTCTTTTTTCCCCTTTCCTATACTTTACATAAATATTCCATCACACTTTGCAATCCAACCTTTCAGAAGTGGGCGTAGAGCCGAAATGTGAGACTCATAGTCTTTTATCAGCTTGTAAAACATTGGCTGCCTTTGCAGCTCAAACATGGCAGGCAATTGGATGGAACCCTTGGCTGTGCCATTTCCAAAGAGAAAACTGTTGTGGACAACAACGACTGGCTTGTCACATGAACAGAGAAGTGGAAAAATGAGAGCACAAGCCAATTCAGCTCAATAGTCCGGCGTCAGCTGAACAGAACTGTGCAAGTCCATGACCTAAGAGAATCAGCTTGGAAGACTTCTTCCTGTCTTGGTCCAAGAGAATGAGACAACAGCTGCCTTTTATTGGAACAACATGTGTGGGTGAAAGAGCATGTAGGCATTCCATTTCAAGAGAGATCTTTGTACGTCTGCTGCTGCATTCAGATAGCAATTTATTCCTGACATTTCCTTACCTGTTAATTTCCGTGCTTTTGTTTGATCTTTCGCACGATGCAAAATCCACATCTGGAAATCTGGCAGAATCTAGCTGGTGTACGCTAGGGGGAAATTCCATGCAAACACATGTATATTATTAGGAGAAATTTGCACTAAAATGCTTATGAATTTTCATGAGAACTTTTTTTTTTTTTTTTTTGCAAACTGACGTGAACTGAGCTTAAGAGTGGGGAAATGAGAAATTCGGCGAAAATGGAATTGAGAGATTTGCCCACTGCTATTTTCTAGAAAAAGAGGTGCCAGAACTCACCTGGTTATCTTAGAATGGCAATGGTGCCATTTTAAAAGTCATTAGGACGATATTAGATATAACGTTCTATAACCTTTAACATACATTTTCCCTTTGCTGGTAGCTCGCTGCTCTGCAGCGCCCTCTTGTGTCACATTTCAATAAGACATTATTGACGTTATAAATCACAAGTGTAGACCCGCCCCCATGTGAGTTCCAGCTGGGGGAATTTGCCCATCCCTAGCTTTGTGCAAAAGCCAAATCCCTTCCAAAAGGAAGAGGGTTAAGGAACATCACACAAATTGGGCCCTTACCTGTGAGGCTGTGATGAACTGTGCAATTACACAGGAATGCCAAAATAAAAATTCAGAATTGTGGTACTGCTAGCAGAATTCAACATTTGAAAAACTGGCTGGGTTTTTAAAAGCAAATTTCTAGTTCTCAGTGCTTTGAGGACGTGCCTGAATCTATGTGGGCAATGTTTTGTAATGGCTTCAACTATGCAACTAACTGCTATTTTGTAAATGTCTGCTGAATCTCAGGCTCCAGAGAGATTACTAAAATAGATTTTTGGGTTTATTTGTTTTATTTATTTATAGCATTTGTACCCCGCTCTTCAGCCAAAAAGACTCCCAGAGTGATTTACATAAAACCAAGACCAGATACTCCGTACCCGCAGGCTTACAATCTTTGTTAAAAAATAATAATTATTATAAAAGGTTGCATTCGGACTTCAGTGCTACACAAATTCTCTGTAATTAACAATCCCAAATGTTATGGTGCATAACAATGAGAACATGGGAGGGGGATGAAACCTTACTTAAAATTGCTCAGTTTGAATAATTTTAAAACTTGGGATTTTATTTTATTTTATTGGTGGAGGGGTGGGGGAATTGCACTGTAAAGTACACACAACCTTTCCTTGGTCTTTAGAACGGAAGGCCTTCCTCACATCTTGCCAGGTACAGTGGTACCTTGGATTAAGTACTTAATTCGTTCCGGAGGTCTGTTCTTAACTTGAAACTGTTCTTAACCTGAAGCGCCACTTTAGCTAATGGGGCCTCCCGCTGCTGCTGCGCCACTGGAGCACGATTTCTGTTCTCATCCTGAAGCAAAGTTCTTAACCCGAGGTACTATTTCTGGGTTAGCGGAGTCTGTACCCTGAAGCGTATGTAACCCGAGGTACCACTGTATGTGGCAGAAGAGAGAGAGGCATCAAAAGACTGGCCAGTCTGGGAAGGGGTTTCAAATGACGCAGAGACACTTTTCAGCCTCCCAGTTGGTGCCTGAGCATCTTTGCCAAGATTGACAGTTTTGATAGACAGTAAAACCAAGTCTCTGGTGCCTCGTTGGCAGCAAGGGCAGCTTCTGAGAGCTGACTCTACATGGCTGATAGAGGGAAGCATTTTGTATCCACGCGAGAGAAATACCATCTACAAAGCAGCCCTTCATCTGGCTAGAAACAAAATGCTCTGCCTTTCTGGTTATATTTGTTTGTTCGTTTTGATTTCTGTACTGCCCTTTTATCACGTGTAGGCCTCCTGGGGGCAGGAGGGGGAGGCAGGCGTTAAACTAAGTTTACCCAAAAAATTGCAATGAATCCGGGGACACTTTTGAACTTCAACTGATTTTGTATGGGGACTGATTTGTAAATCCAGGGACTTTCCCCGGAAACGGGGACATTGTGTAACCTTACGTTAAACCCAGGCACTTCTCCATTAACACCGTGAAAAAACAGTCTAGCAAATTCAAAACCAGATTAAAATAAAACCAAACTGTACAACCAGCAAGCATTCTTCTGTTACGTTGGTTATGTTCTATGGGGCTGTCTAAACATAAAGACTTTGAAACCTTCTTCGGAGTTTGCATTGTGTCGCAGGGTGTAGAAGCCACAATGGGCATTTGAATCGCTTTGACCTTTTACCACCCTCAAACAGTTTAAATCAAAGACTTCCTCGTGTTGATTCAAACTCCTTGGGGCCTCCGTCAACAACGCCATATCTGTCAGCTGGCACTCCCAGCTCCTGCAGTCTGGGATGTGCAGGGCTGCTTTCCTCAAGCACAAGTCGGCCTTATCGATAATTCCCTCTGTACTATACATTTCAAAGCAGATGACACAGATGTACATCGAGTCGTTTCCCCATCCATCGATCTCGGCTCCTCTGAGGGGCTTTCTAGCAAGCCCGCAAAACATCCAGCAGCCCAGAGGAGACTGTCATGCTTGAGCTTTTACATACAGGCCTTCCGAGATTTGCCTTTGAGGAATGCCTTTGTCTACATTTCCAGACTGCTAACCTGACAGAAATATCCTGCAGAACAACCCAAGTCTACCAGGGACAGGGGGAAAGACCACCACACTCCTTTACGCAATTCTCACAGGAGGCAAAGACTTCGGATTTCTTTTGATGTGAACGACACCAGCGGATTTAATTCATGTTCAAATTTGTTTTGTTTTGTTTTTTGAATAGTACATCTGTGAAGCCTCTGCTAATTTTTTTAAAGGGGTGTGATCTAAGGCTTTTAGCATTTGTATTGTGTTTAGCAGAATAACTCAAGGCCAGCCCTATCCATATACAGTGGTACCTCGGGTTACAGATGCTTCAGGTTACAGACGCTTCAGGTTACAGACTCCGCTAATCCAGAAATAGTACCTCGGGTTAAGAACTTTGCTTCAGGATGAGAACAGAAATTGCACAGTGGTGGCACGGAAGCAGTGGGAGGCCCCATTAGCTAAAGTGGTGCTTCAGGTTAAGAACAGTTTCAGGTTAAGAACGGACCTCCAGAACAAATTAAGTTCTTAACCCGAGGTACCACTGTATAAGGCAAGACAGTTAAATCAGTGCTGGTCATTGTGAGGCAACGAAGGGATGAAACCCACAAGTTTATACCCCCCCCTCCTTTTGAACCAACTCTTAGCCCCCTTGCAGAATGCAATGATTTCTACGCTGCCTTTTAGGGCAAAGCCTTCAGAAAAGGTAGATTACATAAAAACAACTATTGAATATTGTGTCATGTTGCAATAAAACCAATAATTCAAAACATCAGTTGAAAACAATCCACAGGCTAGAACATAGGAAGATCTTAATGAGTTTGAATATGAATTACAGTATTTAGAAGGTACTTCATTTGTAGAACTGAAACATTAGGGTAACTTCAGTACTTACAGATATTAAACTATCACTTAGGTGGCATAAAAGCATGGCAATAGCCTGGGATGGTGGATGTTGAAGCTCAGTAACATCTGGAGGGCCAAAGGTTCCCCACATCTGATACTGAGATTTATTTTTTTAAATATAACAAGTTGTGTTGATTTTTCAGAATACAGGATACACAAAAGGAAAGTTGCTACAGATACAACAAAATTACCCTTACTCATGGAACAGATTTTCAGTCTACTAGGTCTTACCAAAGGCAAGTTTGTGATTCTGGTGGCTGCCATTCATCAGTTCATTGATTTGAAAATTTTATAAAGGGCTCCCCGATCTCAATGAAACCATCCAGATCTGATACAGAGAGATGTTGAAACTAAAAACAAATTGCTGAGACAGAGGAAGCATATATTTGAGTACATTCTGCACGTGGTGAGCATCTGTGAGAGTTATCTTTAGCAGAGTTTTAGTTCCTTTCAATTATCATCAGAGCATGTTGTACTGTTGTTAATGGCCTTAAGGTGCAGGTAGGAACTTTCCCTTCTCCTTGTATTCAGCTGTTTTGCATTTAGATTTCTGTATAAAGCGGGGTTTTTATCCTATATATTAAATACTGGAACAAAAGCTCATGTCTTGCAAAAGGCAAGAGTTTACCATAGCAACGCATTTATTATTCCAAATGACAATGCACATAGGGTATGAGTTCTTTACAATATTAAAATGGATTTGGGATAGTGTACCTTTAGAAATCCTGCTTAATTATAAGCAAGTTGATTTATCAGTTAAACAGGGATAGGAAAATGGAGAGTATTCATGCAACTTAATTGAAAAATACTCAACTGCCCTGATGTTCTGAAGACGCTTCGAGCATTTTTGAAGGCTTTGGCTTTTTTGAAGGAATAGTTGAATCACATTTGGCACCTTCCTTTTCAGATGCCTGCATTAATTTGTCCCAAATATATTCTAATTAAATGACTATTTTTATGCTGAAGTAACTTTTAAAAAACAGCACTTCATAGAATGCTGAAGTAACTATGAAGTTGATGTATATGTGGTGAGTAGTTTTGAAAAACTTTCCTCCCTTCACTTCTGAGTTATGTTTAATAAAAATAAAAATATGGCATACTGTCTTGGGTATTCTAATCTTTTTCGTCGCTTACACTGGAGGAATAGGAATAACACCTCTCTTCCAATAACAAACATGGAACGTAATCCACAAGGACAGCCATGGGCAACCTTTTCTGGGCCAGTGGGCATGTTTTGAATTTTGAGGAAAGTGCCACGAAGCCAGTCACAAAATGGCTGCCGTGGGGCATGGCGTAACACAAAAAGACTGTCACATCTAAACTAGCAGAATATGCAGGACACAAAATGGTGCCCGCATGCTCTCCCACCAACCACCCAATCAACAGGTATGTGGTTTTTTTAAAGGCACTCACATCAGTCGCTGCTGTGCTCACTCACAGACAGAAGCTCTTTGCACTCCTCCCTTGTTTAGAATAGATGGGAGGGAGGGTGTCCACTTCAGTGGGGCTTATGGGATGGAGTGGTAGCCTAATATAGTTTGGTATACAAGAGCCGGTGGATGTGTGGGGAAAGGATCTGAAGCGTGACCCCTTGCTCCCAAATCACAGATCGTCTGGATGTGTGGAGAGTAAGCAAGGACAGGGATTCTGGTAATCATGCATCACGCCGGGACCCTTTGTGATCCAGCATCAAATGATGTACTCACAAATGATATCTGAACCTGCTCTAAGGGATAGATAGCCTAAGGGATGATTTGCTGATAACGGGGTGTCTCATGGCGACTCCCAGTACAAAGAGCTTCAGCTGTCTGAGCTCTCTTCAAAAAGGCAACATGGCACCCGTTTGATTTTCAGCAGGAAGTGTCAGAAACGCTTTCCTGTAGTAGATTACACTAGTCGCAATCCATTCCCTCAGCAAGTCTACCATCTGCTCTACATATTGCCCACATCAGATGCCTCTGCCAAGAGCAGTTTAATGAATACAGCAACCATACACTACCTAAGACAGCATTAGAAGCTCTTATCTGTGCAGGAAAAAGTGGTGAAGAAAAGCAATAAGGGCCAAGAGAAGATGAGTTCAACGTCTGCTGTTGTGCACAATCTCCTTCTCTAAAGCCTCAGTGTGTCATCTGTAAAGCAAGGCTCACAGGGATCTAGCCTATGGGACAGTAGTCAATATAAACACAAGGAACAATGGATACAGTTTGCACACTGAAAGTCCACACATAAATCTATTAGGCAGCATGGGGAGCCTGTGGCCTTCCAGGTACTATTGGACTACAACTCCCATTATATTTCCCCACTGGGCGTGTTGGCTGGGACTGATGGGCATTGGAGTCCAACAAGATCTGGAGGGTCATCAAGTCCCAGCCTCTGCTGTCAGGAGAGCTAAAGTTCCATCCATTCACTCAGTCCAGTCCTGAGATTTGTCTCCTACAGTAGCCAGATGCCTTTGAGAATCTGACAAGCATCCTGGTCTCTTCATCTCCAACTGTTCCCTCTTCTGCAAATACCTGGATTGAAGAGTGAGCATTTTATAGCAGTCTGTGTTTGAGGGAGGGGAAGGGTGTCTATGCAGTAGCCAAAGTGTCGGGACTAGATGAGAAAAATACCAGTTTGAATCCCTGTGCAGGCATGGAGTTGTTGGTTTGCCCTGGAAAAAGTCATTATGCCTCATCTTAAAGTTCCCATTTTTTGAGAGTGAAACCGTGCTCCTTGGAGGATGAGTAGGAGGGAAACATATCAGTAATACATGCAAATCATCATCATCATCATCTCTTCTCCAGCCACTCTGCGTGGCTCCCAACAGACATTAAAAACATTAACAACTCAAGGCATTAAAAACTCCCCTAAGGTTGCCTTCAGGTGTCTTCTAAAATTCTACCCCTACTTTTCAATCTAGAATATAGATGTTTATTTAAAGCTATCATAATCTGGGGCTAGATTATTCTCCGAGCTGAACCACAACGAGTGATTTATTTTATATGCCTTCTATTACCTATCTGAACATAAACACGCTCTTCACATATTTTTCATTAAACGTTGTGCTCATTCAGGGCAGTTTCTTCCAACATTTGTTCAATTTATTTCCCCTTTTAGATTTGCCCCATTACATCTCATTGTTATTTCTCCTTGGGCAAAAGGATATGTGCATGGTAAAGAGGTGATGCATACAGTTAGTTAGGGAATACCTAGGTTAACTAGGCTGCCGGAGCTATGTAGGTTCAGTCAAAAATCAGCCCCGTTCATTTCAATGTGGTGTCTGCCCTAGTAAGCTGGTTTAAGATTGCATGCTCAGTGTTCCCCAGGCACTTCTAGATTTTATCCCAAGACATAAAAAAAGGCACTATTTCTCCTTCTGGTCTTGTAACATCCCATTTTTAAATGATAACCCATAGAGAGCAATGAAAGATAAGTACATAGATGATAGATAGATGATAGATAGATAGATAGATATAGATAGATAATAGATAGATAGATTATAGATACATAGATTTTTTTTAAAGACATAAAACTGGCATAAAATGAGAAAATAGAGAGTGAGACACACAGCAGGTGAACCATGATGCTGGGGACAAAATACCGGTAGATGGGGTGTCAAATGTACATCATATTGACCCAAATATAGGCTGCACGTCTAACCCCCCCCCAAAAAAATTGGCTTACAATAAATGTAAGTGCAACCTATATTTGAAGGCAACCTATATTCAGATCAGTGCAATTTAACTTGCCCTTTTCTCAATCTTTTAAATTACATTCAATAGGGAGAGTGATCAGGCCAGCATACAGTGAGGGGCTTAACTCATCCACCCTTTCCCTATGTGGTCCCAACAAAAATACTTTCTGCCCTGGGTTGCTGTTTGCCCTGGGAAGGAAGATGCTGGCGGGCTTTGTATTTATTTCTTAATGGAAAATGTTGTAGTCCTTACTGTGCAGGTGGGGAGATTAAAATGTGCATGCAGATTTTGCAAAAAGCAAAACAAAAAACAAAAAAGCGAGCTTTTTGTGCTGGTGGCAGTTGTTCTGCAAACTGTGCTCAATGAAGTTAATTTAAGATAACTGCAACAGTTCAGTGCTGAAAACTCATCAATAGCTTTGAGAGCAAGAGTGCCAAATGTCAGTTAGGTGAAATTGCTCCCCTGATCTTTTCAAAGCCCCATGAGTTATCTCAGAAAACAGTGTTTTAATTTTGAAGGATTATTGTAATGCCTGAGAAGCAGGTCCCTACTCCCTAAGAAGTTATATGGAAACAGTCAGGCTAACTAGCCAAAGACCAGGCATTTTGAGGACAGATATAACGTATATAGACACAGTAATGGACATAAAGTTCATAAACTGTAACTGAAATAAAAAAATGCAGGTCAAGTGAAATGCTCAGTTAAATGGGGCATGACACTGTCAGCTCCCTGAAAGCCTTGAGGGTTAATACTCAAACTCACCTTTCCTTTTATAGGATGCAAATTGTTCACACCGACAGAGTTTTGTTCATTCATTACTCTTTTACTGGCAAGGAATCTACACACGCAAAAGCCAACTCACACATAACCCGATGTCGATGGACACATGCAGGTAAGGTAACCTTGGCTGAAGCTTGTGGCTAGTGAAGACTAGGAATTGGTACTTCTGTACATTTCAGGTGCTCAGTTTTCCAGTCGGAAATGAAATACTCCACATTTCTGTAACAATTAGCAATAATAATAATAATAAATCGTCATGGAAATTCATCAGCATTTTAGTGCAAATTTCTAACAATAAACACATTTTTGCAAAGCGATTTCCTCTAATATAATGCATTTTTCCTCTAATATAATGCATTCATGTCTGACTTACCATGTCAAGTGAGCCAGCTCATAGACAACATTGTAGCATAAGCCTTCAACTGTCAATGAATATAAGACTCGAGATAGTAGCCCACACAGTGTGTGCTATGACCCCATTAGAAAAAAGCGTGGTGAAAATTGCATATTATAGGTCTCTATTTCCCACATTTGCTTATAAGCAGCAAATTTAGAGATATATACCTCCATTTTTCACTCACTTGTATTGGAGGCACATTCTTTTTTTTCAAAGGGAAAAAAGCAATACGTGAAAATTGAAGCCTAATAAAACAATTGAACAATACGATGATCTAGTGCATTTGACTTCATTCACGTAATATGAGAGAATTGCCTGGAGAGCAGGAGAGAAGGAGAAATGGCTGTTATTGTAAATTGCGGGGGCCTGCATTAGCTAGAGGATTGGTATGGTGGAAAAAAAATCTGTTCTGTTAAAGCAAAGTATCAGAGATTACTGGCAGCTTTGAGTGGCTCTGCACCTTATTGATTTCTCACACAAGGCC